CATTCTCATATACTCTCTAAAATTGTCAACTTTCAAATTTCTAGCCCATAGCCTTATTTATTGAGCAAATTTAGCACCACTAAACTTGGTCATAGAATCTCTTAACTAACAATGGATTGAGCAAGTGGTAAAAGCTTGGGGTCAAGGGGTTTACTCCCCCTATGGTCTTAGTTCGAATCATAAGAACGGTTGCTAATATTGTTGGCTATGGACCATAGGACTTGTCTTGTTTCGGAAGCCTTGTTCAAGGTCAGGAGACTAGTTGAGGTACGCATAAGCTGGCTCAGACACCCCTGATAACCCCAAAAAAAAAAAAAAAACCCTTAGTCATAGATGATGTTTTTTTACAGCAGTGGCACCAACCATTCTATCTTAACAAAATTTGGGTTTTATTTATATATATATGATTACCTCATATAATTAATACTTTAAAACTTAAAAACAAGTTCTCGAGCCTTATGTACTAATATATATATTAAAATAAGTGTAAAACTTAAATCACATACATGGTATAAATTGAATAAATTTTCATACATTATTGTACATTTATAAAAGTTAAGTTCATCTTATCACTAGAGCATAATCCTAAGAAATTTTATAATACATTTTGATATTATCATAAATAAAACAATGACATATAGCTGACAAGAATTAAAATAAATAAATAAATGATTAATTGAATAAAAAACTTAAAAGTTTTTCAGAGTTGCTTAGGAAATTTAATCATATAGTTTTTGGAACTACTTGTATACTATTCACAATCATATAGCTTGTGAGCAAAATTTTAACTTTTTGTACAACAAATATCAGCTATATAGAATTTGTGGTAACTATTGGTGTTAATTTTTATATATATTGAATAACAAAAAATATATTGATTAAAAAATTTAATTCTTTTTATAATTTATCAAAAACTGAATTTTTTTTTTTTTTTTTTTTAAAGAAAAAATGAATGAAAGGATTTTTACGCCCCGTTTTAAATAATATAATTCAACTTAAACGTAGTCTTATTTATTTTATATTTTGTGTGTGCAGAAAAGAAAAGCAGAGCTATATTCAAGTTAAAATAAAATGAAATATGAACATCAGAAGTTACGTAGTTGCTTCAATTTGCAGATGGAAAAGCTAAGTGAACTTAAGTTGAGCAAGAGAGAAGAAAATTAACAAGAAGCTGAAATAATGACTGTAAGTAATGACCGAAAAATCAGCAATCACATGAAGCTCTGCTGGTTAATTATCAGATTAGCTCCTCATCTTCAGCAGCATGATTGCAAGAACTTAATTACAAATTTAACTGTTACAAAACCAAGTCCAAGTTAACTAATGGCATTTTCAGATCAAACCCAACTGGGCATCACAGGAAGTGGATTTTGTACTCTTTAATTTCACCTAGCAATATGGTTAGGAAGTGTAGGCACAATCTTATTACTAGGCACCGCCGCTATCACTTGTGATGGATTCTCAGTCTCAGTGTTCCTGAAATGAACATTTTCAAAGCCATTGCAGCAAGCCAAAAAACCATAGTAAAGAGAACCAAGTAAACCCAAGATGACAAAAGAGTTACCAAAACATAGTGCAAAGTAGTGAATCAAGATATCGGAGTCAGGATGCATTATCTCTTTCACAGTCATCCAACCCAAGAAACCAGAAAAAGCTGCGCATAAAACTGACATTGCTGCAAAAAGTAGAGTCGATTTTCTCATCGTAACATCCACAGCTGCTTAACCTGTGTGAGAAGGAGAGGTTGGAGATTGAATTAAAAAATGGCCGATAGGAAACAAAAAATAATAATTTTTTTTTTTTTTTTAATGCATGCTAATAATGCTCTTGAAGATGTGACGAATTATAGAGGTAAATTTTCTCTCGGAACTCACGGATGAATATCTCTTAGTTCTCGCCGAACGGATCGATTTTATGGATGGACTTATTGGAGAAAGTGCATGAGAAAAAACAAAATGAACTATTTGAAAATGAGTTTTGATTGAAATGGTGTATAACCATATTTAATCTTTCCCATTTCAAACAAAGTCGTCAATACTTAGATGTTTATTCAATCTAAATGACGGTCGAATGTATCTTCATTGGATCACCATATATAGAAAAATTGTTTGTTATTCTAGGAAAATTTTATGGGGTGAGCTAAATATAAAAAAATGAAACAATATTTGTTAGAGTTTGTGTCAGGTTGGTGCATAACTAATAATTTCTTTTGTTTTGAAGGAGTGGCAAGGAGCAAAAGGAAACATAACTGCCCGAACCACTAAGTTCTTGTGAAATCAACCACTAATAACTTACTCGAAATGTCGTGCAATATATAAATCCATGTAATCTTTGGAAATACAGCAAACTAAGACATTTACAAACAAACAATCTAAAGATCCCACTCGTCATCGCCGCCATGACATTCCCCTTGTCAATTATATTATTGTTGTTGGCTTTCATATTGCCAGATTACACTACTCATGCGCGGTTTGCAGGGGTAGCACCAGTTAAACATCATAGGCCAAATTTTAAGCCTGGTCCTTGGAAGAGGGCTCATGCAACCTTTTATGAGGGTGACACAAGATCATTCGGTACGATAATATTAACAATGACTTCTTTCCTAACGTTAGCTCTCATATTGTCAAAACCTTTCTAAATATAATACGAGTTTGCAATATTTAATTGATTTGAAACTTCTCATGCATCGATTCTACTTGGGTTAAAATTGAAATTTAGACATGCGGTTCCATATCCAAGCGCAAAATGTAGGGATGGAAAGACTTCCTAATTTAATGGGAGTTGGACCCGATATACACTTATATGCATCAAGGTTCTTCGAAATTAAATTTAGTATTACATTTATATTTTGTGTTCCCGTAGACTATTTGCAATAGTTCTAAAAGTTTAATTTTATTATTACAGGTGGGGCTTGTGGTTATGAAGATGTAGGTACACAAGGCTATGGCATGGAAACAGCAGCATTGAGTTCAACTTTGTTTAATGACGGCCAGACTTGTGGTGCTTGTTATGAGATTAAATGTACCGATAGCCCTCAATGGTGCAAGCTTGGACAACCATCTCTCTTTGTCACGGCCACAAACCATTGCCCACCAAATTTTAATCTACCAAACGACAATGGAGGTTGGTGTAATCCACCTCGTGAGCATTTTGACATAGCCTACCCAGCATTCTCCCATATTGCAGAATACAAGGCTGGCATTGTCCCAGTTGAATATCGAAGGTCTCTTTCTTCTATATCATAACTTACATATTAAAAGAAATCCTAATAGAGTAATTTTCAAGTAATTTCTAATTGTTTTTAGAAGTACACATCTTTGTTTATATTTTAACTTCAGAATAAGAAGGAAGGATTTTCATAATTGAACTCGAAGAAGAAAACAAAATCAATCAATCTTCCATTAAATGAAGTTCTGACTTGTTTGAATACTATTCCAGAGTTTCATGCCAAAGGAATGGAGGGATTCGATTTACAATAACTGGGAACCCTTACTTCAATTTAGTCTCAGTTTGGAATGTAGGAGGCGCAGGAGACGTTGTTAGCGTGCTAGTAAAGGGTGATGGCAAGTTGAAATGGACAACACTGAGACGAAATTGGGGTCAAAAGTGGGAGACTGGTGCAAAGATGACTGGAGAGTCACTGACCTTCAGAGTTAGAGCAAGTGATGGTAGAAGCTCAACTTCATGGCATGTGGTGCCCAAGAGCTGGCAGTTTGGCCAGACTTTCGAGGGCAAGAACTTCAAGTAGATATCATATGATTAAAGCTTCACTTGTATTATCTTCTTATATTTGTATTAGTCATCTTCGACTAGTAACTTGCCATGGCGAGAATAGCTAATAGATTTTTATCCCTTACATTTAGTTCAACTAATAATAGTGTTCCCAGAAACCAGAAGAAGAAACCCACCAGAAATCGTGGAGTGTTGTTCATCAAGTTGATAACTTTTCTGGTTATATATAATTTTGATCAGTTAGTTTTACTTTTCTGGAGCTTCCGCTGTAGAAGTAATATAATTAATTTTCTACTACTTCACGACATGCATGTCTTTTAATTTAATCTATTTTCAACGGTAACAAAACGAGTTCCTGGTTATTTTGAAACTTGCCATAACAGTTAACAGATGTTCTCTCTGTCATGGCTGTGTGCAAGACCAAGATGGCTTTTCAACAATTTTAAAGAGTTGTTACTTTGTGTCATTTCACACAAAGAAAGAATAAAGAATCTCCGTGTCCAAACTCTTGCTTCGTCGATGACTTTTTGCAACTATTGGCTAGGCTGGACGACCTCGGTGTGGAATCTCCGGCTATTTTGCATGAAGATCCTCACTCTGTTTTATCGAACACGTGGATTACTACTCGAAAGGAGCGTATTGTCTGTCCGAGTTATGAGTGACACGGTGGCTAATTAATTACTTAATATTTATAAAAACGTATGGTGATCATGTTGATGTTATCTTCTACATCAACAATCAAAGAACCACTCTCCTCAATTTGTTGAATAAAACTAAAAAACCTTACCCAACGGAGGTAGAAAAGTAGTAAGTTCAATAACGAATAAATTTTTCACCATATTCTAAATAAATAAATTGAATTCAAACTAAACTTTGAAAATTTGTGTAATTTAATCACATTTTCAACTGGGATATTCAACTCAAACTAATCCAAAGATATGAAAAGAAAATTATAATAATTCAAAGATAAATTCTCAAAATCTAATTTAACTTGCATAATATTCTAATATATATATAAAGTCTGAAAAAGAATTGAGTTATATAAATATACAAATGGTAATATAGAAAATAAAAATGAAGCCCAGAAATTTATATTTCCATACAACAACTCAAACCCACAATTTCTAAAGAAATAGGGGCTAAGATTACTATACAGGCAGGCAGAGCAAAATTACAAGACATTAACAATTCGAACAGTAATAATTTACAATTCCAAACTGTAAAACGTAAAAGCTTACCATCAAATTTTATTTTTCTTCTATCTCCTTAAAAAATATGATTCTAACCCAAATCCAATGAATAAGCAATTCGTACAATTACCATGTTATTATTATTTTTTTTATTTTTAATGAGCGTGAGGGTGAATCTCTACATCTTTCTGAGAAGGACTCCTCCAAAATCCAGCTCCATGAAACTGATCCCACATCTCCTTCTCCAATTCAAGAATGCTCACATTCTCCTCCGTATTCGTGGTCTCTAATAATTCTTCCATTTGGGTCCCATGATCCAACAATGACCCCACATTTGGCCCGATCAAAAGCCCACCCACCTGTTTTCTCCTCGCAATACGCTGTCGTCTCCTCTGCACACTCCACGCCTTCCTGCACAGTCCGGCCGGCACCTTGTACACCGCCAACACCACCAGATTCATCACCGCGCATGGGCAGCAACACCACACCGCCGCGCACTCCGCCGCCGTCTCGCCGGCCATCTCGCCGAACTTTCGGTTTTTCTTCACTTGACCGACTTCTGGGGCTAAGAGAGGCTGCCCCCGTTGGATCATCGACGGCGACCGTACCACCGTCAGCCCGTCCATTGCGAGTTTTAATGAGAAAGATCTTTGTACTGGGGGTTTGTGTTGTGTTTTTAATTTAATTAAAAAATAAAAATAAAAGAGGGAAGAGAAAGATAAAAAGTAATTTTAATAGAGGTAAAATTGATGTAATAAACAGTTAACAGCTGTGTAAATGCGAAACATCCGGATTTCAAACCGGCGACAGTTTATAACCGGTATTTTTAAGATTTCTTTAAAATGTTTAATTAACTGGATTTTTTAATTAAAAATTCATTTGAATAAATAAAATAATTTTCGAATTTTGTAAAAATGTGTTAAATACTTATAAAATAGGTTGCAATGCTTATAATTACTTAAAATTAAATAAAATGTTTAAATTTTAGCTGAAAAATCTCCCTTTTAATTAATATTGTTTCTAATTAAAGTGGTCCACTACTAAAAGATAAAAAATAAAAATAAAAATAAAAATAGGGTGGAAAAACAAAAACAAGAGCTAATCTGTTTTTCATATCAATTCTTATTTTAAGGGACTTTTTTGTTATTTTAGCGCTATTTACTTTCTCAAATAAATTGTTTGTTTGCTTAGATTTGTTGGGCTTTTTTTTTTCTATTTTTTTTTAAATTACTTTTTCCAATCAATTTAGCTCAAATTTAATGCCAATATCTGAATACAACTTTTATTAATTTGAACATATATTGATAATACTATATATACCAACTTTATGCAAAAATTATTTCATACAAATTAATGTAGCAATGAGTTAATAAATGAGTGCAAATAAAAATTTAACTCAAATAATGCACAATAAATATAATGCATGATGTGTACAAGAGTTTGCATATTTAATTTGTATACCTTAGTATCATTCTATTATTTTTGTTAAAGTTTAAAATTATTTTATTTTTATAGAACCTAAACTAATGTTTGATACATTTGTGGGTACCAATTAATTTAACTTGTAGTTAAATTTGGGCATAGCGAAATTTAATATAAAATATTTATATAGACAACAAAAACTCCTAAAGCTACCAATAATTTTAATAATGTTCAATATGATTATATTAATAAGTTTGCTATAATTCGTTTTTATTTTTCTTTTTTCTTTTCTCTTTTAATTAAAAAAGAAGAAGAGAAGAATGAAATTTATTTTAGTTCATTATACTTTATTCATAGAGTAAAAATCAATTTACCCACCTAAAGTTTTGGAAATTCACAGTTTTGGGGCAACAATAACGATTTTATCAAATGTCCCCCAACAGTTTCAGAAATCTGTCAAATTCCCCCTAAAACAGTGTCCTGTCTACTGTTAATAGTTGTGGTAAGAATGTAGTAATGATAAGGAAGGTTGATGCTGGGGGGTTTAGAGATTGTTGGGTTGAAGCTTGTTGTGGGGGAAATCTAATAAGCATGGACTTATGTCCAAGGCCGGCTTAAGGGGTAGGCAAGTGAGGCACCTGCCTAGGGCCCCAAAAAAATAGGGGTCCAAATTTTTTATAAATTTTTTTTTTTTTTGAATATCTTACAAAAATGAAAATGGTTTATAATTTCTTATCTAAGTTAAGGGGTCCCTAAAAAAAGCCAAAAAAACCCAAATTTATTATAAACATTTTACATATATTCCCACCCAAAGTTTAACAAAATAACAAATTTGTACCTCTAGTTTTATATATTCTAGTTTATACCCTTAAATTAACACATTGAATCTCTTTTAACAATGGAAGACTGAAATAGTCATTTACATATCTCAAATTACTCACCCCCAATTCAATCCCAAAATTTGACATTTACATAAATCATCTCCAGCCCTCTTCTGTCGCCAGTGGTTTGGAGTTGATTTCGGTCAATTTTGGTTCCGGTCGATTTTCTCAGCAAAATCGATCGAAATCATCATTTTATCATTTCCCAACCTTGATAGCCCTCGATTTGAATAATTTTTTATGAATCTCGCAACCCAACTCCACCACACGACAGCCATTTTCAACTTTTTTAGCATGTACCCGACATTGTTGGCCTTCCCCGACACCACCATCTTCCTCCCCTCAGCCCTCTCACCAAAACCCTTATCATACCTTATCCGTTTATTCTGCCAATCGCCGGCCATTGATACCTTTTGAGCCATGACTTCTCAAGCCTTTTCTTATAAATCTTGGCATTGAAAATCACCCATTTCACCACCCATCACTTCTCCAACATCTACTCTCCAAAACCCCCCACCAACCTAACCTTGTTAGCCTGCCGATTGTTGTCCACCTCTCCTAGTGATTTTTCATCCCAAAAGGCAAAAAAAAAAAAAAAAAAAAAAATGAAATATTTTTTTTAATATATGCTTATATTATTAGAGGGCCCTAAAGTAACTCCTGCCTAGGGTCACAAATGTTCTAGAGACGGCCCTGCTTATGTCATGCGTTCCAAGAATTTGCTTTTGTTCAACAGTTAGATCTACGCCATGTGTCAGCCTACCTTGAGCTAATTACATTTACAAGTTAACTGATGCTTTCAAGTTAAACATTGTCCATAAGTTAAAGTCTGAGAACAAGTTAGACTTTACTTACAAGTTTGCTATTGTGACAGCCTATATAAACTGAATTTTTCCCAAATGTGGCGCAACTCTCTCTCTCTCTCTCTCTATTTTCCATTCATGTAAGCCCCTTGGATAGAGAGATCTTTTTTCTTCTACACACATATCTCACTAAAAGAAGAGAATAACTCTTTGTAATCTGTAATCAAAGGGGAAAACACCCAAAATAATAACATAACAATGGATGTAGGCTTGGTTTTAACCCGTCGACTATAGATGCAAAAAATATACTGTTACGAAAACGACAGATCCTCTGAGGTTAAGGCCATTGACAATCCATTAGACCTGCACACACGAAGAGACAAGCGTGAAGCTTACGGGAAACGCAGAGCTGGTGTTTGCCATAGGCACTCCGACGCTCAAGTCAGCAAGACTGAAAAATGCTATATAATAAGAGTTAAGGGAAAGAAGGATTACCGGAAGTCTTGTCGGAGGCCAGGACTATGACGAAGGTGCAGAATTCTTGAGAGCAAGAACTTAGGAGCAAGTAGGTGGTTTTGAATATTGGAGATTGAATAAATTATGAGAGGGCAAGCATTTGTTTATATAGTGAACCCCAAAGGGTTGGAATCCTAGTAGGACACTAAGTCCTACTTGGAAAACAATCCCTATCAGGAAAGAAAGATGATTTTCTATCCTTATCAGATCAGTTTACTAGTTTGAGTAAGATTCAAGATCTTAGCAAAAGAGGAAATAGAATGAGATCTGATTTCCTATTTATGGAATGTTGTAGGCTAATGGGTCGGAACCCAAATTAGCTTAACTTGTAAGATAACCTAACTCAAAAAGTGGGTAGTTCACAAGGTGACTTTAAGTGTAGACCCAACCGGAGTTAGGCTAAGGCCTTGGGCCATGACATGTTTATTTTGTTATTGGGTCTCGTCAAACCCAAGATGATTTTTTGCCCATATAATTAACTCCATACTCTCTAAGTTAAAGGGTATTTAGTTTAGAGAGTAGATTTAATCGAATGAGTGCGGACTGAGTAGGTCAATGCCAGCATCTTGTCAGATCGGGTGGACCGTTGTTTGGAATGTGAAAGTTTGCTCAACCAACTTGAGTTGGGAGGAGTTTGCTTGACCAACCTGAGTTGAGAGGTGTTTGTTCAACCAACCTGAGTTGGGAGGTGAATGCTCGACCAACTAGAGTTGGGAGAAATATGGATGTTCGCTTGGCCAACCTGAGTTGGGAGGAATTTGCTCGACCAATCTGAGTTGTGAGGAGTTTACTCGACCAACCTGAGTTGGGAGATAAATGCTCGTCCAACCTGAGTTGGGAGGTGAATGCTCGAGCAACTAGAGTTGGGAGAAATATGGATGTTTGTTCTACCAACTTGAGTTAGGAGGTGTTTGGTCGACCAACCTGAGTTGGGAGAAATATGGATGTTCACTCGACCAACCTCAGTTGGGAGGAGTTTGCTCGACCAACCTAAGTTAGGAGGAGTTCACATGACCAACCTGATAAATGCTTGTCCAACCTCAGTTGGGAGGTGAATGCTCAACCAATTGGAGTTGGGAGAAATATGGATATTCATTATACCAACCTGAGTTGCTCATATTATGAATTTCTTTCCTTACATCACACTTTTCTATTCCTCTCGGTTCTTTCTTTGTTCTTTCTTTATTCTTTCTCTATTTCTAATTCTCTCTCTGTTCTTTCTCTATTTCTAATTTCTCACTATTCAGGATAGTAAGCATGGTATCATGCATAGGTATGATGAAAATGCACAAATGAATAGGATGTGCATTTTTCTTTCTGTTTTTTTATTTCTTATTTTGTTTTTCTTTCTTTTCTGTGTTTCTTTCTTTCTCTGTTTTTTTTCTTTCTTTCATTCTGTTCTTTCTTTTCTTCCTTTTCTTTCTATTCTTCATTTTCTTTCTATTCTTTCCTTTCCTTTCCTTTCTTATTCTTTTCTTTATATTCTATTCTATTCTTTCTTTCTTTCTTTCTTTTTCTTTGCCGATCGGACTCCGTTGAGGCATGGTTTGGAACCCTGGCCGTGTGAGTGAGTACAGTCCTCATCTACATGCACTTCTTACGGACTGTACAAATTCTTTTTATTCTTAGGCCACTCACCGAAGGCGACGTGCATGTAGGTATATTCTTTTGGGTACAGTCCTCATCCACATATACTCTTATGGACTGTACAAATTCTTCTTCTTATTCTTAGGCCGCTCACCGAAAGCGGCGTGCATGTGGAAAAATTCTTCTTGTCACTCACAGGTTCCCCATCGCAACAACCTCCTCTTCTCTTAAAAGTCTGCAAATTCTAATTTTTTAATCTTTCACCTTGAAAAAAATAAAACTAAGGGCATTAAAGCATAAATGGAGTTACGCACCTCAATGTGGGTGTTACATGCGTTGCGATTGATGGGAATAGTAGGTGAGGGAATTAAGGTTAGTTATCCTTTTATGGTTAAAACTAACAAAAAAGACATTGAAGATAGGGGTTGAGAG